TATTGAATATATATATTATATATTATATATTCAAATAAAATAAAATCTTACTTCTTTTTTTTTTTATTTTCACTTATAAATTATAAAGACTACTGTACGAGCACGAAATAATGTTCTCGTATAATCCTGTTGATCAAGTCTGCGCTCCTCCGAACGTCGTCGTTTTACTCCCTGAAAACACAAACGTGAGCTAGCCGGCGGATGTGTGCCGGATACCTCTCCGTTGCCTAAGTTAGACAAATAGATAAAAACTCTGTGTATTCGAGGATCAAAGTTGTGATACCTGTACATAGGTTCTGTCATGAGCTTTTATAGTTTTTGCCTGGCACAATCCTAGTATGACTCTTATTCCTCAATGTAGAGTCCTCATAGGAATCATACTCCTGAAGGATAATGTTTATTCCTCAACACCCTCTTCACTGCTTTAACCAAATGAAATGGTTTTACTACGGTTATATGATTACACAACCGAGCTAACACCGTTATACTCGAGCGGCAGTCTCAACTGCGCTTCACCTAGCTCGGTGATACCTTGCTCTTACAATTCAGCTCGGCGCGTCCACAAGTGACGCCTTAACTCGGTTATTGCTCAACTATACCTCGGATCGGGGTATATAGACCGAGCTATGTGCAGCCGCGCAATTCGACCGAGATAATTGTCACCACAATTAGACTGAGCTAACAAAACTAGGTCCAATTTGTGAAGTCCTTTTTACTACGGCCCACGAATCGGTCCACTGCAATGACTGGGCCTAGCTCGGCCGTAAGTGCTCATATAAACTCCCTCTCAATTGCCCCTTAATTCCATCTGCAATGCATGATTTGGGATTACTCTTCTTTAGCCGAGCTAAAAACATTCAAGCCAACCAAGGTCACCTCCTATCGGGCAACCGATTAGTCCGGTTCATAAATGTCCTTTCACTGCACATCTGAATCGTTTCCTATTCGTGTGGACACGTGGCTGGCTCCCACTGGTCAAGTACAACTGTTGCTGCCGCCCTCGTACTCCGAAAATTTGAACAGTCCGCCCATTTCATATGTTTTATACAAAAGAACCCCCATTTTTGAAAAACACTCCTACTGTTCATCCTCTTTCCTTTGCCCTCTGAGAATTTGTGCATTCGAAGCTCCATACTCGTGCCTTCATCTTCATCGGCTACTGTTTCTTCGCGACTTCAGACTCGTAAGTTTGCTAACACTTCTTTATGCTGTTCTTTTTCAACTATTTCTTCATTTTTGATATTCAATCCCCACATATATGTGTTTATAAACGCTAGATATCCACCATAGTACTGAGCAAATGCTATAAACCCCAAACCTTAGGCTCGAGCTCAAGAACATAATGTCTGGATTCAGAAAACATGAAGTTTGAATCTAGAATCGTGCTGTAACCAAGCTAAGAACCTGTTTAGGCAACCTTTAGGCTAAAACACAACCGAACTAGGAGACTCCACTCAATAACCGAACTAAAATTTTCACGCCTCACCTTATGTTACAACCGGTCTAAGAACCGTTTTTCACATTTAGCCGAGCTAAAGAGTTTTCTCAAACCGGACTAAGAACGGGTCGCATCCCTCGTAGCCGAACTAGGGTTATATTTATTTTGCCTTTATACTTAGCACGGTCCAACGATCTGGGCTTAACACTTTTCATCTCCACTTTGCAGACTCTGACTAGGTTGGCCAGGCACTTCTTTGCACGCTCAATTCGAGATACTCAACATCATCTCAACACCGAGCTAGAACTCCGAGATAATTTATACATAATTTAAGTCCACATTGGCAAATATCAATTTTTAGTAAACTCTCCAGGGGCCATAGCCGAGTTCCGAAAAGATTAGTAAATTCCAGACGACGTCCACCTTTCCCTAGCCGAACTAGATACCACGCCCTGGGAAAAACAAGGTTTCGTTCCTTTTACCGTGCTATCCATTGTTGAAGCCGGTCTTCGATTCCCAGTCCAGCCACTCCTATGCGAATTCCTTAGGCAGACTAGAATATGCCCAACTCAACTTAGCACCAATTTTTACCGAATAATAAACGGCATCGCCGAGCTAAATCGCCAGGTTGGCCTCAATCTCAGTTTAGCCGAGCTATTTCACCAATACTCAGTTGGCCAGAATGATGACGGCTGGGTATACTATTTAAGAATAAGACGCCGCCAAGAGAAAATAATAAAAAATACGCCAGATAAAAACTTAAACGATGACGACTTTTTCTGGGTTTCTGGTAACTTCGAGGACCAGGAACCCCAAATACCGGGATATGGAATAAACTGGAATAAAGGAGTAGCCGGTATAAATACTTTGGCTTAGCTTGTGCGTTCTTTACTTTTTACTGTTTATAAGTTTTGCACCGTGCTAACCATTTGCCTATTTCCTCATGCAGATTTGAACCAACTAAAGTCGCAGTACAGATATCCCAATTTAAACGCACTCCGTGCTGTGCTTCGGTACCGCGATCGAGGTTGGGCCGAGCTACTCAATTTTGAACCGACATACAGATACAGCAGTAAGAGGAAGACCAGGGTGACAGATTTCGTTTTGGAGCCTTCACCAGAACCAGATCCAACCCTTCCACAAATCAACCTTATTCCACCGACTGAAGAACAAGAGATGGCCAAGCGCCGAGCTGTGCGAGCCCTAATCACCGAGACAAATTCAATTCCAGACAGCGGGGTTCAGACCGAGACAACTCTAGCCGGTCAAACAGTTAATGCAGTGGTGGCCCTCCCAACTGCCCAAGCCTTGTCATCTCGGTCGAGGAAGCGCGCTCGCACTCCCTCAACGGAGCCACAACACCTTGTGGATGACGACGACACCTTGCTCCCTCAATCTACGCGACTGAGCCCAGAGCCTGTGGGTTCTGACCGGGCTAGCCCTTCTAAATGGGCTCCAAAAATAACCTACAAGAACCGAGCCATCACGAACACAGACTCAGTGGTGGCTGACAAAGACCACACACTTGCTTTCAACTTGGCCAAGAGCGTATGTCTTCCACCCGACATGGAACACCATGACCATCTTACCGAGCTCAAGGCCTTCCGCTCAGCTACTAAGTCGATGGTGCTAGTAAGTGCTTAACTCCATTTGTTTCTCCATTTCCATTTTTAACAACAGTTTGCTCGGTTTTTGTCCTGATATCACTTCCCCTCTGTAGGCCATGCAAAAGAACCACGTTGCTCATAAGCGCGTGTTGGAGCTGCGTAAGACAGCTCGGTTGGCCGTGGCAGACGTCAATACTAAAACAGCCGAGCTGAAAGAAGTGAAGGAAAAAATGATCGGGCTCGAATCTGAAGTAGCCTGTCTTACCGAACTAGTCAACTCGGCAGAGGCAAACAAATAGAAGGCTCTGGCCGAGCGAAAAGACCGCTATCTGCGCGAGCTGGCCAAGCTCGAGAAAAAGAAAGATGCCGAGATCGCCGAACTAAACAAGAAAATGGAGGACGCTGACGATAGGGGCTACAAAGAAGGTGAGGCCACTTACATCCTGCAATGTGAGGCTGCAAAAGATATATTGTTCAAATGCGGATGGAAGGCGGATGTTACAAAGCTCGGTTATGGTGAAAAAACCGAGGTCTTCCAGAACCCTCCTCCCTACTTCATTCCAACCTATATGGCAGACTATGCTAACGCAGTCCAACAAAAGTTCTTTCAAGAAAGGGAGGAGGACGAGGTCCTTGTTCCTGTAAACAACACCCAGCTCGGCCGCTAGTCTATCTCTCCCACTCCAGTGGACTTCATCCCACCTTTGCCTGTTGTGACTAACGTGCTGCCTTCGACCGAGCTCAACCAAGGTGCGCTTTCCACAACCGAGCTACCTTTAGGTGAAGCCCGGGTTGATTTGGATGCCGATTTGGAAGATCTTTTCTCCTGATTGTTCTTTTTTTTTTTCTGTCATCAATATAGTTTGTAATTGGGCTATAGTCCCACATTTTGTAATGCACTTTGGAATGAAATCCTTAATTTCTTCATCTTTTTGTTCGGTTATTCTTTGGCTTGTAATTTATCTTCTTTTTGTGGCCGAGATAACCATCTTGAATTAAGAGCTTTGACAACTGTTTACTGTGTTGGTTATACCTGCCTACTTTCTCCAACCAACCTCTCTTCAGCCCAAGTCCTTATCTCGGCTGAAGAGTACTCAAAGTTGGTTTTTCCAGCCAATATCTCTTCAGCCTAGATCCTTATCCTGGTTGAAGAGTACTCAAAGTTAGTTATTCTAGCTAACCACTCTTCAGCCTAGATCCTTATCCCGACTGAAGAGTACTCAAAGTAGGTTATTCCTGCCAACCTCTCCTCACCCTAGATCTTTATCCCAGCTGAAGAGTACTCAAAGTTGGTTATTCCAGCCAACCACTCTTCAGCCTAGATCCTTATCTCGGCTGAAGAGTACTCAAAGTTGGTTATTCCAGCCAACTTCTCTTCTGTTGCCCCTAGGTAATACTGTCTAAGAACAACTTTACAATGGAAAGAGAAACTACTTGTTTTACAGTGGGAAGATTGATGCTGAAAGAGAAACTACTTGTTTTATTTAGAGAAAGAAAAATTACAAGTATTTAAAGGAAAGTTAAAAATAAAATAGTTTGAGATTGACAGTGTTCCATGGTCTGGGTATAGGCTTGTTGTCTCCATCTTCTAAGTGATATGCCCCTTTTCCTGCTATACCAACCATTTTGTATGGTCCTTCTCAATTAGGCCCTAACTGGCCATCTCCGGGTACCAGAGTGTTTCCCATTACTTTGCGCAGCACCCAGTCTCCAATCTTGAATTGCCTAGGATGTACCGTCTTGTTATGTTTTCTAGATAATTCCTGCTGGTATGAGGCAATGTGAACTAGTGCTCTTTCTCTTTTCTCTTCTGCTAGGTCAAGTTCCAAGTTTATGGCTTCTCCATTTAAGTCTGGGTCAAAATTTTCACTTCTAATGGTGGGGAGGTCTACTTCCAGTGGGATTACTGCCTCCATACCATACCCCAAAGAAAAGGGCGTTTCACTAGTTGACCGTCAAGGTGTGGTGCGGTAAGCCCTTAGAACATGAGGAAGCTCCTCAACCCACTTGCCTATTCCTCTTTCCAACCTTTTCTTCAAACCATCCAAGACAACTTTGTTTGATACTTCTGCCTGGCCGTTTGCTTGAGGGTATGCTGCTGTAGAGTTGTAGAATTCTATCTTGTATTCTTCGCAGAAGCCTCTGAAGATCTTGCCGTCGAACTGAGTGCCGTTGTCAGATATCAGAGCCTTTGGTATGCCGAATCGGGTTATGATATTCTGCCAAACGAACTTCTTGACATCTTTCTCCTTTATTGATGCGAGTGCTTCAGCCTCTACCCACTTCGTGAAGTAATCTGTTGCTGCGAGAAAGAACTTTCTATTGTCGGGTGCTGTTGGAAGTGGCCCTACTATGTCCAAGCCCCACATCGCAAAGGGCCATAGGCTAGTTAATGGTAGAAGCTCTCTTGCTGGTTGATGTATTTGGTGTGCAAACTTCTAACATTTCTCGCACTTCTTGATATACTTCTCTGAATCTGCTTGCATGTAAGGTCACCAATATCTTTATGAAATTACTCTGTAGGCCAATGATCTTCCCCCTTGGTGGCTTTTGTATACGCCTTCGTGTATCTCGAACAGGAAAGAATGCCTCGATCTTGCTAGGATGGACACATTTCAAGTAAGGTCATGTGAATGATTTTTTATATAACGCCAATGATGGAGAGAGCCAAAATCGTTGTGACTTCGCTCTTATTTTGTTGGCATCTTTTTTCTCTTCCGGTAGGATGCCGTCTTTTAAGAATACTATAATGGGGTCCATCCATGAGGGGCCTAGTTCGGCACAACATACCTCAGCTACTTCGGGTTCTTCAATGCATGGTCTTGGTAAGAAGTCGATCAGTAATGGATGTGGGATGGATGTATCAGCCATTAAAGCAAAGCCTACTAGTTCGTCTGCTCTACCGTTTTCTTCTCGGCCGATCTGCTCTATCCACACTACTTCAAACTTAATGATCTCCTTTCTGACTAACTCTTGGTACTTAGTCATCCTCTCATCTTTTGCCTCGTAGTTGCCTGAAATCTGGTTTACTACTAGCTGGGAGTCACTGTAAACCATTAGCTCGGTGGCCTTCATGAAGAGTGTTGATTTTAAGCCTGCTAGAAGTGCTTCGTACTCTGCCTCATTGTTCGATGCTGGGAAGCCAAGGTTGACTGCTTGTTCCACTACCAGGCCATCTGGTGAGATGAGGACTATGCCCAGTCCTGTACCGTGCCTATTGGATGCTCCATCCACGAAGAGCTTCCACATTTCTCTAAGAAATAGCTTTCGGCAAGTGAAGGGGTCGGATGATGTCTTGGGATCATGAGTGTTGCTAATGTTGTCTTCCAGGTCCATGCCTACCGTTAGGGTTTGCTCTTCACTATCTGACTGTACCCAATTTTTACTTGTTGATGAGTCTTTACCGAGTATAGCCTGGTTTGCCTCTTCCTCCCGTTCTTCAATCCGGTATGACTTGGGATGTGGCTGGGCGTCTTGTTTTAGGGTTTGCGCAATTCTTGCGGCACTTTCCATCCCCTTTTCAATTGTATTAGTTAAGTCAACTGGGCAGATGTGATGGCTTCTTAGTGTGAACTCAACCACAAAGTTTGCCAAAGCTTGGGCTTTTATTATGGTTATGGGTTGGAACTTGTTGTCAAATTGTCCCAATTCCACCGCCCATTTCAAGATTCATCCAGAAAAGTCCGCCCTCTCAAACAAAGCTTTTAAGAGAAAAGCTATCAGGACGATTATGGCGTGGGCGTGGAAGTAATGTGATAACTTCCTTAAGTCCATCATCAATGCTAAGGCCAGCTTTTCCAATAGTAGGTACCTAGTTTCTGTCCCCAGCAAGGTCTTGCTAACATAAAAGATAGGCAGGTGTTGGATTCCTCCCGCTCTGACCAACATTACGCTGACTGCATCCTGTGACACTACTAAGTACAAAAAGAGTTCTTCTCCAGGTACTGGGGTTACTAGTAATGGAGGAGAAGTCATGTAGTCTTTCAAGCTCTTTAGGGCGCGATCACATTCTTCGTCCCACTCAAATTTGGCTTTTAGCGCTTCGAAGAATGGTCGACATCTGTCTGATGACCGACTTATGAACCGGTTGGGTGCGGTGGCTAGGCCAATGAGATGTTGCACCTCTTTTACTGTGTTAGGCCTCTCTAGATCCTGGATTGCTTTGATCTGAGAGGGGTCTGCTTCTATACCTTGGTTGGTCACTAGGAAGCCTAGGAATTTGTCTGATCCTACGCCGAACGCACATTTAGATGCATTTAGACGCAACTTGTTCTTCTTTAGTATTTGAAACATTTCGTCTAGGTCTCTGAGATGGTCTTTCTCATCCTTGCTTTTGACCACCATGTCTTCAATGTAAGCCTCCATTGTTTTGCCTAACAATGGTCCAAACATTTTGGTGACCATCCGTTGGAATGTGGCCCCTGCATGTTTTAGGCCAAAAGGCATGACCTTGTAACAATACAATCCTCTGGGCATTGTAAAAGATGTAACCTCCTGGTCTGGCTCATATATAGCGATCTGATGGTTACCTCTATACGCATCAAGGAAACTAAGTCGATTGTGCCCTGCCGTCAAGTCTACCAGTTGGTCTATCCTAAGTGAGGGAAAACTATCTTTTGGGCATGCCTTGTTGTCTGTTTTGTAGTCCACGCAAACACGCCATTTTTCATTTTTCTTTGGTACTACTACAGTATTGGATATCCACCTGGGATAGTGCACTTCTCTTATGGCTCCTGCCTCCAGCAAGTTTCCCACTTCCTCCGCCACTATCTCCGTGTGGTGGATTGCTGATCTGTGAGTGCGCTATATGATTGGTCTGGCATTTGGGTGGACGTTAAGTTGGTGGCAGATGAAGTTAGGGTCTATGCCAGGCATGTCATATGGCGTCCAGGTGAACACTTCGATATTTGAGATTAAGAATTCCATTAACTCAGTTCTCTCAGAGCTGGACAAAAACGAGCCTAGCAAAAAGAACCTTTATGGGTTCTTTTTATCTACCCTTACCTCAACTAAGTCCTCCACTGCCTTCTGTTCTGCTGCCTTGCCAATATCCGCAAATAGTTCATTGCTCTCTGGCTCTTCTACCATCTGTACATATCTTTTTGCAGCTCGGCTGCCGTTTACCGTGACGAAGCACTATTTTGACAGGATTTGGTCTCCCAAGACCTCTTCAATTACTCCGGCTTCGTTGGGACCGTAGTGCTTGAAGGTAGGTTGACGCTACCGATCGCATTACGTACAGCCATGTTCTTCCCAGGATTATGTTGTAAGTGAAAAGGACCTTTAATACCTAGAATTCCACTTGTTTAGTCATGGTCCCAGCTTTGACTAGGAGAATTATCTTGCCCACTGGCCATTCTGGCATTGAATTAAAGCCAACTAGGGGGGATGTTGCAGGGGACAAGTCTTTGTCCTCTAGTTTCAGCTGTTTGAAGGTTTCATAATACATTATCTCGCATGAACGTCCTTGGTCAATCAGAATCCGTTTGATATCATAATTCTTGACGCGCAAAGTCACCACCAGTGCGTCATTGTGAGGGCAATGTAGCCTTGCTAGATCTTTGTCTGAGAATGATATGACGTTTGTAGCCTCTGTTTTGTCCTTTTTGATGGCAGGTTGTGCACTTAGTACCTCCTTCAGGTGTTCTGCCTTCTTTATCATCCCCCTGAGTTCACATACCCGCTCAGGTTCTATGATGCCATGAATAACATTGATTACGCCTTGGGGTGGTCCATCCATCGGCATCCCGTTTGGCCCGTTAAGGTCCTGGGGGGCTGGTTGTGTTCCCCCCTCAATATACTGGTCTAAGTGACCAACAGCTACTAATTCTTCCAGATGTTGCCTCAAGGGTGTGCAGTTTTCAGTTAGGTGCCCTTTCTCAGCATGGAATGTGCAGCGGGACCTCTCGTCGTAACCCCTTTGTGCTACTCCCAACCTGGCTGGCCGCCGAACGAAGGGTTCATTCTTTATCTCGCTGAGAATTCAATAAATGGGTTTATTGAACACGGTGGTGATGGCAGTGCGAACTCTTAATCTCCTTTTTTCTGGGTCCTCTATGTTGGCTCGCCTGCCTCACACATTCCTGTTTGGTTGTTCTACTGTGTTGACTTTTGCTGTGGTCTTCTTGTCCGGAATTACTGTTGAGCCAGATTTTGCTTTAGCCTGGGCGCTATCTTTCTCCACACGGATATGTTGGTGCAGCCTCTCCATCAGGGCCTCCATCATGAGGGGTGGCATCATAGTAATTGAGTCCTTCAACTTGTTTCCGACTGGTAGACCCCTTTGGTATTGCGCGATGGTGAGATTTGTGGGGCAATCTCCTATCTGGTTGAAAGTCTCCCAATATCGACTGTTGTAGGATCTCAACGTCTTCTTGTCGCCCATGTCAATGGATAGTAGCTGATCGATCTCCACTGGTGTCTTGGTGTTCGTTCTGAACCTAGTTACGAACGCCTCTACCAATTGTGCCCATAAGGCGATGCTGCCTTCTGGTAGCCTTTCGAACCAGGTTAGACCTAGGTCGCCAAGGCTAGATGGGAATAGGATACACATTAGAGCTTCATTCCGCCAGTACACTGCCATAACCTGGCTCAAGTGGCTCAAGTGCATACAGGGGTCCGTCTTCCCCTCATAAGTAGTAAATTTGGACTGGTGGAAGTCTGAAGGTAGTGGTGTGTTCTCTATTGCCGGAACGAACGGCGAGCTCTGCAACCTTGCTAATACCTTATCCGTTGATTTGTAAGCAAAACGAGGTATTAGCATCCCTACTTCGACACTCCCATGTGTTCTGGGGGCCAATCGTTGTAGTGTTGAGACTCTGCGTGGGTCGCGAGCCCTGGTGTCTTCCTTCTATCGGGCCATTTCGTCAAGCACTGTTCGCAAGTCAGATGATCTAGCCAACTTCGTGTGCCTAGATGTCGTCTGGTGTGTGTGCGAGGGCCGATAGATGCTTCCCTCAGTACACGACCTCTCAGTTCTCGTTCTCTTAGACCTGGAATAACGAGTCCTGGAAGTCCTCGATTGGGTGCCGCCTGTTCTAAGACTCCTACTTTCTGCTTGCGATGGCGTGGTATGCCTATCACGATCCTCCGAGTAACGAGGGGGCGTGTTGCCTTTGTGCCCCTCTCCTGTCGCCACCCCTTTTCCTTTTATCTGGCGCTTCATTGTCTCCATGTCTGCCGTCATCTTCCTAATTAACTCGTCCTGCTCCTTTATACGATCCTCCAGAACATGAGGGTCTATCCTCCGCCTCTGTCTTTCAGGGCTCTGAGAGCGACAAGGGCTGTTGCCCCGTCTTCCCCTTGCATCCCTCCAGGGGTTCTGTCGCTGGGGTTCTAGATCCGCCATGGGTGAAATAGAAGGTAAACCTTCGCGCCTCCCACCCCCCTCTGGGGTTTGTCCGTCGATAGCAGATTGCGGCAAATCTTCATTGTGCGCCATTGGTTTTATTTGGAGAGAAAAACTCAATCAAAAGGTTTTGTTCTTTTTGTAGTTCCCACTGACGGCACCAATTGTACGGGCACGAAATAATGTTCTCATATAATTCTATTGATCAAGTCTGCGCTCCTCCGAACGTCGTCGCTCCTCCGAACGTGAGCTAGCCGGTGGGTGTGTGCCAGATACCTCTCCGATGCCTAAGTTAGACAAATAGGTAAAAACTCTGTGTATTCGAGGATCAAAGTTGTGATACCTGTACATAGGTTCTGTCATGAGCTTTTATAGTTTTTGCCTAGCACAATCCTAGTAGGACTCCTATTCCTCAATGCAGAGTTCTCCTAAGAATCATACTCCTGAAGGATAATGTTTATCCCTCAACACCCTCTTCACTGCTTTAACCAAGTGAAATGGTTTTACTATGGTTGTATGATTACACAAATGAACTAACACCATTATACTCGAGCGGCAGTCTCAACCGCGCTTCACCTATCTCGGTGATACCTTACTCTTACAATTCAGCTCGACGCGTCCACAAGTGACGCCTTAACTCAGTTATTGCTCAACTATACCTCGGACCGGGGTATATAGATCGAGCTATGTGCAGCCGCGCATTTCGATCGAGATAATTGTCACCACAATTAGACCGAGCTAACAAAACTAGGTCCAATTTGTGAAGTCCTTTTTACTACAGCCCATGAATCGGTCCACTGCAATGACTGGGCCTAGCTCGGCCCTAAGTGCGCATATAAACTCCCTCTCAACTACTATAACGGCATCTCTCTTACATTATATAAATTATTTATTTTGATGATATTAATGATTTTCTATAATAAAAAAATGTAAATAGAGCCAAATTTTAATAATTTAATAATGTAGTTGCAAAAAAAAATTGAAATTCATCTATAATTCGGGCAACTCGGGTTTAACTTGGGGTCGGGCTTGGGCAGGCAACCTCAAGTTACAATTCGAGCCTGGGTGGGCCTAGACAAGTCTCAACATAACTTGGACTGGACTTGGATAACCTCCCAACCCAACCAAACCTGCCCGAGTTGCACCCCTACCTAAAATGACTACTTTAACTGCTTAATTATTGAGTCAGTCTTGGTTGTTTAGCGCTTTTACCTTAATTTCTAACATTGATGTAGTGTGTTACAATAACACAACAGGAAATATCGAAAATAGTGTTGGAGTACTTCGTGAAAAAAAAAATCTTTATTTTAGAAAATGTATTTTTGAATTATATTTTTGGGTAATAAAAATAAAAGGGATTTTTAGTGAAAAGCTCCTCCCATTGAGCATTTTTTGTGTGAAAACCACGTAATAAAATACTAGTTCCAAAAGTCACTCAAATAAAAAAAATATGGTGAAAAAATTGAAATACCCTTTCATATAAATGGGCAAATATCAAACGATGGAACCGTTTGTCTCCCGCAATTTGTTTCATCGCTTGAACTCGTTGATAAGAAAACAAATAACAGAAGTATACAATAACAGAATAAAATTTTACTATAAAAAAAAAAAACAGAACACAGAACACATAACACATAACACAAAAGTAAAATTTTACTCTCATTTTATCAAACAAAAGCGGAACACATACCAGAGTCTCATTCTGTCAAACAAAAACAGAACACATACCAGAGTAAAATTTTACTTTCATTCTGCCAAACAAAATCAAAGCACATACTAGAGTACAATTTTTCTCTCATTTTGTCAAACAAAAATAGAGGACATACCAGAAAAAAAAATAGAGAAATAGAGAGATAGAGAGAGCACATATATTGCTTTAGATTTGGTTCAAACTAGAGTAAAATTTTACTGTCTGAAAAACAGAGCATAATGAAGAGACAAAGAGAAAAAGAGGGAGATAATATAGATCTGAGATGATAGATCTCAAATTTGAGGTCCTCAATCTCAAATCTGGTCTTTAACGCTAAGGATGACGATGGTGGTTGCCCATGGTACAGTGGCATCGAATGGCTTTGGTTGTTGAGATGGTGGTGGTAAAACGATTATGGCGATGGCAATAACGAACGACACTGGTGGTTGATGTGGTATTGATGGAGACAGTGGAGGTAATGGAAACGATGGTAGTCGTGGTAGTGGAGATGGTGATGGTGATGGTGATGGTGGTGGTTGTGTAGATGGTGGTGGTGGTGAAGAGAACTCTTAGAAAGAGATAGAGAAAGAAAGAGCTAAGAAAAAGATGACAAACTAATGAAAAAAAGAGGAAAAAGATGGAGTGTGTGTGTGAAGGGGTAAATTTGTCACATAAAATATCAATTTGAAATTTTTTGTCCTTCTTACAAGATTTCTTTATTTTGAAAGAATTTATGAGCCAAAAAACTATAGCTTATTTTTTTAAAGAAAAACAGACTCTATAAAAAAGTTATAGCCAAAAATCCCAAAATAAAAAAGTAATGTGCGATGTGGTCTAAAAAATAAAATGAGTGTAATGATTACGATGATCACAATGATAAAATGAGATAGTAGTGGGTCAGAAGAGTATTGATGCACTTATGTTTGAGGCATTTTGATTAAGACTAATTTTGGTTAAATATGAAACACACTTTAATTACCTAAATTAATACTACAACATGTTTTTGAGGGGGCATTAATTGCAAGAGAACCACAGAATTTGATGTTGCCG